TATTTGGCAATAACCTAAACAGGAATTGATTTACATTTACTACTATATTTTTCTAGAACTATACGCACTATACGTATCACTATACGTATAGTATTATACGTATAGTACTGATCTGCCCATCTCTAGTTATTATTTATTTCATTATTGTTAAAATTGGTCACGTGAAATTCGCGAATTTGGTGGTGTGGTAGCTAAATGGTCAAGAATTCCTTTGAATAATATCATGACTTGATAAATTTTATTAAAGAAGTAGAATCATTAAACATCCAAAATAATTTAAAAGAAAGAGAGAAGGAAAATAAAGCCAAATATACTTACGAACTTCTTTATGAAAAAGTAGATCGCGGAAGATTAAGGTTAGGGAACATTCTCAAAGCGAGAAGTATTGTTATATATGATAATTGATAATTACTTTTAATCAAATGTAAAACATGATATTTTACTAAATCATATATTTAAAAACTTTTTTTTTAAACATGTGATTATAGTCGATCAATGCAAAAAGATACTTAAAGTTATGATTTTATTCAATTTCAATTCTCGAAGATGCTCTGTAATAATTATAGGTCTTCGTAATACCAAACATATCTTGGGGTTTTTTAGGAATTCTGATCTAAGATTTTCTGACGAAGGCTCAAGATATTTCACGACACAAAATTTCACATTTATGTAGACATAGACATCAGTTATTTTGATTTTTAATTTCGCAAGTGACCGATATCCATTACCTGATACAATTTATAATGAACATATTTATTATTACAATTGGATTATAATATAAGAAAATCAATTGCAGATTAGATTCCAAAAGCACATTTTAGAATTAGAAGCATAATATCATTTATTTGATTTATAATTGCTTCGCATCTACTTCGTGGCCATACTATTTATATAACACTTCGATATCCCTGAGGGTTGATATCTTTTTTATTTTTCCGTAATGTATAATTTAGCTTTTTTCTGCTTCAGGCATATAGTATAGAAACAATATATTTGATTCTTTTCATTTTTATTACAATATTTTTAAAAATACTTATGAAATGTAAAAGACTTGCTCATAAGTAATGTTGGTGAATAATTATTTTTATTATTACAATAGGAAGGAGACTTAGTTGAAACAAAATTGATTCCATTTAAAATTTATGTGGAAATGCAAACTGGTGAAATTATAGAACTTTATGTGACTGAGAGAAGCACTGCTATTCATGTTAAAAGAATGATTGCGAATTCCAAAGGTATTCCTATTTATGAGCAGGTTCTTTTATTCGACGAAAAAGAATTGAAAGATACTAGCATCATGGAAGACTTTAAGATTCAAAAGGAGTCAAAATTGTTCTTGACTTCAAAGAAAAAGGAACAAACTGATGAGATTACAGAATATCATGTTTTTAATGGAAACCAATTGAATAATGTTGGCATCTTGGGAAATTGTGACATTCAAAAACAACAAGAATCAGAATTGCACATATTTCCAAAGAAAAAGGATCATCATATTTTTGTGAGAACAAAAACTGGAAAAATCATTGATCTGTCAGTAGAAACAAGTAATACCATTGATGCTACAAAAAAAATGATATATGGTAAAACCAATTTCCCCCCTGATCAACAACATCTTATTTTTGCTGGCAAGCTATTAGAAGATGGATGTACATTGAGTGATTACAATATTCAAAATGAGTCCACAGTGGATCTTGTACTTAGAGTAATGCAAATTTTTGTGAAAACAATTACTGGAGGAACTATTACTCTGGAGGTAGATCAAAGTGATACCATTGATAATATAAAACAAAAGATAAAAGATAGAGAAGGCATTCCTCCTGATCACCAATGTATGATTTTTGCTGGCAAGCAAATGTTAAATGGACGTATCTTGAGTGATTACAATGTTCAAAAGGAGTCCACATTGCATCTTGTACTTAAATTACGTGGAGGAATGTTTCAAGAAACCAGTGGACGTCTAGAATTCAGTGCATTGCCACCACTTACACAATATCTGCAGATGCAAGTTCCTGAAATACATATGCAAGGCAAATCTCATGTTGGTATTGCTTGTAATTATTGTGGTAAAAAAGAATGGAAAGGTGCAAGGTAAAGCAAAATAATTAACTTGGCCAGTTTTTTTTTAGAAATTATCAAAATATTTATTTTGTTTCACTAATGCAATTTACTTGTATTGCTTTACTAATAGGTTTAACTGTTCAACATGTTTTGATTATGACTTGTGTTTTGAGTGTATCAAAATGGCCAACTTGCTTCATGATAAACAACATAATTTTGTGGAATACTTGGATCCAGTAAATGAAAAAGTTACTACAAAAAAAGATATCACAACTAATCCTGTTACTGTATTACCAATACTTCCAACAACAAAAGAAGAGATGTTGAATTTATTACATGAGGAAGAAAAGCGAAGGCTGTCACCAGAAATGCAACAACAATATTACAAAGTTGGAAGCGATCCCACATCTGGCAAGGACTGGATGGATGTCACT